CGCATGAATAAAGTAACAAGTAGCTGTGCATCGAGAGAAAATAACGATGAAGAAAAATTAGAAAATGCCGTGATCGGCAAAATAGAATGGTGCCTATATAACGTCACTTGAGTTTGACTTAAATGAAGACATTTGCGATGGAATTGGCCCAACTATGCCTAAATGATGAAAAATGACGCTGAAAAAGGAGTATTCATTTTAAAAATGATGCCGATGAATGGTTAATTCTATGTTTTAAATATGTTTTGATTTTACAGGTCGACCTACTTGTTGGTAATCGAGAAGGCAAAAGTCTCTGAATCTCCCGACGAAACAGGCGTTTGTTGTGGAGGTGGCGGAGGTGGCGGAGGTGGAACATTGGGGAGTTCCAGTACTTTGTCTTTGCCTTGACCATGGTCAATTGCATGAAAGTCATCTTCAGATTGAACACTTGGAACGCTGATGATTTCGTCATCATCCTCAAAAACATATTTCACTTTGGTAGCAGCCCCACGACGTGGTGCTGCGCGTTCACGAGGCATGACTATCGTAAGCAAGTTTTAAAAAAGTAGTTACTCAAAAATGACAAACAAGTAACAAAAACAATAGAATAGTCTACTCAGAATTAAAAAAACTATCACTTCAAACAAATGTTTTTGTACTAAGCTAATTACTATCCTTCCTAAACTGAGTGCAGACACTAAACGAACTGAATTTGTTTGGACCAAAAAATACGATGGATTTTTCTCTCCAGGCTTTACCCACAATCGTTAAACTTTATAGTGCAAAAGCAAGCAATCAACATTACCTACTTTTGTGTGGTGAGTAACTATGGGAGAGTGAGTGTTTCCCCTAATACTTTTACAATTATCAAGTTTTAACAAAATGTAGTCCGCAATGAAGCCGCGGGTAGGTAGACTTAATAACTCGAGATTAAACTCCAATATGCAATTTAAATGTAATTATCCTGGTCCCACAGATGTTTTATTGTCCAGTGGACAGTGGTTCCGATCTCTGCAGATATTCGTGGAACGTCTTATGTTGCACTTAATGAATTACATTGTTCTGGAAAAAAAATGGATTCGACAACACAAGTATTTATGGTTCGCCCTGTACACAATGAACAGTATTAGTATGCTGATTGAATAGTTGATGTTAACAGACATGCAAATGCAGGAACTGAGTTTGAAAACTGATCGTGGAAAGTATCTAGACCTATAGGCTAAACCAGCAGCATACAGCCAGAGGAGACTGCAATCAGCTTTAGAAGTTTCTGCAATTTATATTTTAGCAATACTATGAGTAATACCATGAAAGACAAAATCTCGGATAGCTAAGCATATCCTAATAAATATGAAACACGGGCGATGCCCCATAATGTTTAAAACAAGCAATTTATAAAAAAAACTCCCCAGCATTCCACATAACTAGATACTCCTCGATTATAAGGCTAAAAGTATAATTTTAAGTTAACTCGCCATC